AGAGATAATTGATAGATAGGTAGGCATGTGTACCGGAAAGAAAAGAAAAGAAAGAGATGCACCTTGCCCACAACAGAAGAAACATCTGAACGAAAGAGCAAGACAACAAACAAACAAGAGGAGGAGGAGTAGAAGAGAGACAGAGGAGGAAGAAGAAGGAAGCGAGCGTACGGAAGGGAGGAGACAGACAGAGAAAGAGAGCAAGAGCATCGTCGGTTCATTTTTTTTTTTTTTTTTCTTGTTTTTGAAGCCGAGGTAAGCGTGTCTCGGGCGGAAGCTAGACATGGGTAGCGTGTTCTAGGCTGAAGCAGGGCATGGGAAGGCAAATGATGGGAAAAAAAAAAGGGTCAAGGTAAGCGTGTCTCTGGCTGCTGAGCAGCAGGGCACGGAACGACCGGTTAAGCCGAGGTAAGCATGTGGTTGGCGAGAGCGAGACATGGAAAGGCCAGAAGGTGGAGGAAGCATGTTCTAGGCTTGAGCAGGGCATGGAAAGGCTGAATAATGCGAAAGGTGTGGTCAAGGTAAGCGTGTCTCTGGCCAAAGGGCAGGACATGGAACGACCGGTAAGCCGAGGTAAGCGTGCTCGGGCAAAAAGCGAAGGCTTGAGCAGATCATGGAAAGGCATGGAGGTTTGTGGGGAGGTTTGTGTCCAAGCTGGGCGACCAGCGGAATGTCGTCAGCCTGGTTCTTATTACTTAAGGAAGCGTGTGGATTCCTTAGTAGGCAAAGGGCCGGGAAGGAGGGAGAGAGTTCTACCTCCAAGACCCGGCCTTTGCGCGGCGACACAATAATAAAAATGGCATTTTTCGGGAAGTGAGACAAAATTTCTGGAAATTTGGGTCCAAATATTTGGAACCAACACTTTCATTTTATACACGCTGCAAGGCTGCAAGGCAACTTTGCAAATAAATCTCGCCGCATGTGATGGCGAGAGGGCGTGCCCCTTCAACCACACCCCGCACTCCACAGACAACGACCCCACACGCGCAATACCATGGTAGGGCCCAACAAAGATGGGGTTGGTGGTCACCAAGGGCAAGTCCCGGCTGGATTCAGCAGACAGGGCGGATAATGGCGCTGCTGTAGGTCCAGCCGCATGCAGTTTTCCCTGCTCGGCGCCAGGCAACACCCCGGGCCAAGGCGAAGCGCGAAGCAACACGATACCAAGAGCATGTCCTACTTGCTGGATAGAGCCAGCCAGGTTGTTGAAAGTAGAAGCCATCATGTCTCGGGCCTCGAGGTTACAGCAGCAGGTCTGTGAGAAGCGTGTTTTCTGTATACGCCGCCTGGTGTGTGTGTGTGTGTGTGTCTCGCTCTCGTCCCCTCTCTGTTGTCTCACCGCACTCGCTCGCACCCGCGCCACCCCCAACTCTTTGTCTCGCACTGCAAGTCGAAGCATGTGCCAGGTGGTATTCATGGTACAAGCTGCTGCACCCACATGTGTCCTCTTAAATACACATCAAAACATGCTGGTGCCACGCAGGTGCTGTACCTAATTTGTGATCCACCGCTGCATGTCTGTACTTTTTGCGTGTGGGCAAATACATGCCGAGAGTACTTGTGTTCTACCTATAAAATAGACGACACGCCGTCTACTTTTCTGGCTGTCGCGGATACAGCAGTAGTATCGCCGAAACCTGCTGCAATCCGTCGGTCAAGTCGGCAGCAGTGGTATATCGTTTATCTTTTGTAGTGACATGCATACCATGTGCAGCATTTTTTGCGCTCATGCGTTGTGGCGTGTTCGTCTAGAAGTATAGCAACAGCCATTTTCTGCCAGCGGTCCTTGTGAGACAAAGTGCGGATTGTATTGTACGAGTACAACGCTTTTGTCGGATTACACCCCATCACCCCTCCGGCGTTGCCGACACCGAATATGCCTGACCAGGACGCGAGAAAAAACTGGTACGTGTTTACCTAGACCTACCGCTCTCTGCTCGCCTGCACTCGCCAGATTTCTGGGGTGCGACTCTGCTACAATGCAATATTTGACTGAGCGTCCCGCACCGTTGCCACTTCTTTTTTGCGCCATCAAGGCGAAATGCCGCTGCAGTCGGCGACCGCACCTCATAAAGCTAGAAGAAGATGAACAAAATTACGTTCCTCGCGTGACGGAGTAGATGACTGGCAGAAGAAAGACGTTGCCGAGAGCAAGGGACGCAGCTGGCGCGAAAGCAGAGCTCGGCAACCAGGATACAGCGCGGAGAAATGGGTCACCGACTACTACTTTCAAGAACGAAATAGTGAAGGTGATGCCCCAACTATCAAAGGGTAACCAAACCTCTCCCCGAAAGCCAAAATCGATTCAGGCAACCCCTTTGATTTCCTTCCTGCAACAGAACGAGGTTGCACGATCACATCTTAGCGTCATTCTCCGCTTATATCAGTAAGAAGGAACGCCTTTTCTGAGCTGTCCCATCAGTGCTTGCGAAACGAAGTGGCAGATCGGGGCACCAGAAAGAAAAAACAAAGTTGTACAGCAGCAAAGTTGCCGTGCCTTTTTTACCCAGCTGACCTCCCCCCGATCGCCCTTCTCACATATTTTTGCTATGGTAAAAAATGCCGCAGGTTGACGGAGCGGTGGGGGGATATCTCGCAGCATGAGGGAGGGATGAGAGCGAGCAGGAATTGCGTGGGGGGATACAAGGGGGGCTTGTTGTTCTAGGGGTGATCCAGATGGCGTGCCTGCATGATGGCGAAATATTTTCTGGGACGCATTTGTTTAGCACAACTTCAACGTGCTTTCGATACGTTCGGGTTTTGGCGTCCCTCGCATTCTTACTTGGTTATGCATGTCGGTGTGGTTCCTGGAAGGCCCACGCACATGGCCATTGCTGGTTTGAAAGGACGGCGGGGACGGTACGGTGGCAACTACGCCTTTTTTTTTCTTGTTCCTCGCCACTCGTAAAATGGTAGCGTGTGTACTTGTTTTCAAAGACGAAGCAAAGCATTCGTAATTTGCGTTGTCGTGCTATACGCAATAAATACTTGTAGGCAAAGGTTCTCTTCAGGAACCAAGCATTGCGTGAGAATTGAATGGCACCTTGCTGACATAGGTGCAAATATTTTTGTGGCATGCGTTCGTACTGGGGGTAACAGGAAAGAGAGCTGAGCCGATGCTCCAAAATACACTTCGGCCTGACACCCCATGCCCGGCATTTTTTTTTTTCGTGTAGTAGCACGCTTGACGAAGGGCCAGTCAGCGTGGCGACGTGTGTGGTTCCTTGTGTATGTCGTTTTCACGTGGGCTCCTTCTTTGGGGCGATCTGCCACGTGCGTGATTTTCAGGAAGAGGATGGAGATCGCACTAGTCATGCTGCTGTGGTCATGGTATGCTGCACTTTGCTTGAATGAAGAGTCAAACGCATTCTTCCACGTGAATAAGATCCCCAACATTTAGTTGTTCGTGGTGTGTAAACTACAAACGCCACCTCCCCACAGGAGCTTGAGCTATTTCGTGGGTCTAGCACGTCACTTGCCGTACAGAGCACCCCCCTCCATGATAATCTCCCCCCCAAAAAACTCGCCGAAGCTCAAAACTTTGAGTTCGCCCTGGGGCAGTATAGTTTTTTTCTTACGCGGTTGGCCAATGCCCGAGGCATTTCTCCCGGCATCTTCATCGTTTCATTCACCTCCGTAGAGTGGCAGTCCTCATTCCGCAACAATAACCCCTTCAAACATAAATTTAGTGTGGGGGGTGTGCTATCACGACATCACCAAGAACGCTCGTGATCTGCATGCGATCCGCACAACCTATTCGCTTTTATTCATTGAATGAGCACACCGAGCCACAAAACCGTCGTATAGGCAAGCACCTCTACCCGGTGCTTTGCAGCAGCACACTGAGAACAGGAACAACAAAAAACCATGCAAAGACACCAAGCGCAAAGGCTGCGAGCGCACATCGCAGGGGGATATTTGTCTGCCACGTACACCTTCAGCGTTTTGTGATAAGGGCTGGTGTTAGACATAAGAAAACCTTACACAGCACCTCTCCATGAAGAAGACAGCAAACAAAAATCAACTCCAAATGGAAGACCGCCTACCGAAACGTTCTCGCTGCCCTTGTCCGTGTAGCGGCCAGTGTGTGCTTGTCGAAATGGCGCAACCCAACCCGACAATCCCTCGTTCGTCCACCGCCTCCCTCTCGCTCATGACCCCCTTGGTCCCAACCTAGACAACAGCACCCCCCCCCGCACAGCAAATACACAAGCTCCTGTCGCCCTCCGCCGTCACCGACCCAGCCCAAGCCAGGGCTCCTCTACCCCCTGCCCACGATCCCAAATCTACAGTCTCCTCGAGGCAGCACGTCCACGCAACATTCCCCGCCCGCCCGACCAAATCATTTCCTAGCCCGGACCAGGTTGTGTCCGGACGGTATCCACGCTGTTCGTCAAGCAGTATCGTCATCGTC